GTTTTTCTGTCTTTTTTTGTGTCTACTGAATACCTGTAAATGGAAGATTTCCTAAATTTACTTTTCACATTCCTCTTTTAATTAAACAAATGCAGTCTGATATATCTTACATAGGGCAACTGGTAATATTATTTTTCTCTTTAAAAAATAGCCATCATCATTTTGAGAAATCATTGACTAGTTTTTCCCTAAACTCAACCACATCTCAGTATTAGTAAGAATTTGTTTGTTAAATATTCCTCTTGTACCATCACATTACATTCCATGTTTATATTTTGTCAGCTCCACTTACTGCCAGATTACATCGCAATGCACCTTTCTTGTTGCTCTGTTGTGTAAATGTATATATATATATATATATACACACATGTGTATGTACATGTATTACAGATCTGTTACATGTACGTACATGCATAATATATGTAGACATGTATACATATACATATGTCTATTAATAAATAAACAACCAATAATAAACAATTTTTTTCTCTTTCAGAAACAGGAAACTTTCTTATACCAAAATATATGATGCTTTGATTCAGAACATCTTCTCATTTAACCTCAGTGTAGGTTGAACTCTTTACATGTTAATGGAAAAATAAACACAACATTCATTTATTCATACTTAACCATTTAGCAGTTAACATATTACATTTTTTTCACAGAAGTTTAAGCACATAGTCAATTGACTTTTGTTGAAGAGATTTAGGCTCTAAAGAGGAAATGAACCGTACTGCAAAGTTATAAGCTTAATCCTAAAAAGGCAAGATGTGAAGATTTTTTATTTGTCTTGATTTCTTTGTTTTGCTTGATTTTCATTGATATTCCTTGTGATACTAACAGAGTTTGTCACTGTCTTTTAGAAGACTAGCTTGATGGAGCCAGCACAGTGTTAGATGTATGGGACTGGGTTTGCCCTTGTTAACACAAGTTAGTGTCTTTACTTTGTTTTCTCTAGAAAAAATACTCTGGTGGTTGTGTTTGACATTGCTTGGGAGGTAGGCACATTTGCCAAATGAGCTGGCCTGGACTGGGATTATAAAGTCATAAGTGACAGTCCTGTTCTTTTTTGCCAATGGAATTGAATCAGACAGTTGGTCTCTTTGGGCAAATGAACTAATTTTCTTAATTTTGACCTAACTTTTCTATGTGCTCTGCACATTCAGCTGTGTGCCATCATTCTTCTGAAATAAGAGTTCGCCTTTCTGACCTCCATAAATGTATGGCAATTATTCGATAACAGAAGTTTCTGATGGGTGATCACTACTTAAGTATTTGTCTAGTACTTAAATTGTCCCATGTCTGGAAATCGTGTAAATGCAATTGCAATGAAGTATTTAAATAAACTGACTTTCGTATGGGGCTTATGAAATTAGCCATATACATTATCCACCCTGCTAAGCTGGCTTTTTAAAAGGCAGTGCTAGGATGGTAAAGTGGCTAAGAATGCAGCAGCCAGAGAAGCTGACTTATATTCAAATACTAGTACCTTAATTTTCTAGTTTTTTCTACTCCTCATTTGTCAAGTTACTTAAATTTTCCAGATCTTAGTGAGCTAAGTCTCCTTATGTGCAAAGTGAAGTCTACTACTACACAATAGAGTTGTTGAGAATATTAAATAAAACAAGGTGTATAGAGTGATAATATAGTGCAGGGTTTCTCAACCTCAAAACTATTGATATTTGGGCCTGACAGTTCTTTGTTGTGGGCGAAAAATTGCCTCCCTACCTGCTGAGAACCACTGGCCTAGTTCTGAAGCACTCAAGAGCTTTATAAATATCAGCCACAGTTACTCCTGAATAGTTAAGAAAGACTACTACTTTTGAAATGCTAATTGGAAAATTCTTACAGTAACTTCACTTTTTTCACAAAAGTTAATTGAATCTCTTGTGAACTGAGATTTTTAAAAGTGATGATAAACTTTTTGAGCCCATAGTTAATGATGTAATTACTCTGCATCTGAAGAAATCCAAATTGAATGTTTCTGAGGCTTTCAACATTTTATGAAAATTTTTATTCTATTTCAAAAATTTTCAAACCTACACATAAGGTGAAAAACTCTTACACTGATTGCCTATCACCAAGATTCACCCAGTTGTTAACATTTTGCCACATTTATTTTATCTCTCTGCAATGAATTTATATAACCAACTAGAGAGACTGGGAATCATTTGTATAAATATCTCAGACATGACTTATTATAGTAAAGTATCCTTTTCATTCTTCTCTCCAATTCCATTCGTTTTAGTGATGAGCTTGATATCTATAAGAGTACACATATAATTAAGCTGTGTGTACATCTGGATTTTTACATTAGATTTTCAAACATCTAGAGTGTTGACATCTGAATTTTTCCTAATTTTTACACCCTTCATATGCATAGTATCTGTTCTAAGATGAATTACTGGCTAGACCCTATATTATTGATAACAGTCAATGATATACCAACTATTTCAAGGATTTCATTTTATTTCTTTTATTTCTACTTTCTCTGATTTGGGGTGAATTCTCTAATTACATTTGGAATATCTGAATAAAAAACATATCAGTATATTTAAAATATTTACTTTTAGTTGACAATATAAATTTACTCATCATTAAAAATATATACCTATAGGTTTCCCTAGAAAGTAAATTTTATTTAAACTTCTGATAGATTTTAAATTACTACTGAATGAGGAATATGCCAAATATTAAGTCTCAGTCATTAAAACCTAATTAATGAAAAAGTACATATTTCTGGAGCTACAGTATTTTTTATTTTCATTAATAAACTGTTTCTCGGGTCTTCTAAAAGTAGACTTGAAAATTAATACAGAGAAATATAACGTTTGTACAAATTAGAAAATTTCCATTTTCTTAATTTATTGATTAACAATTTTGAGGAACTAAAAAGCACAAAGAAATCTCTATCACTATTTAAAATTATTTAAGCTCAACCACCAAACAGATTTATTACATCTTATTTACCTGATAGGACTCTGGTATCTCTTGAATGACAAATTCACATTTGTGATTATCAATCTGCTGTTTACATTTAAATCCAGTCCTATAATAA